GGCCTTCCCTTCTGCTGCGGCAGATGGCACGGTTGCGGCAGGGGTTGGGGGAGCAATGGTCCACCTTTTTCTCGCAAGAACTCCCGGTGTAACCCTCTTGACAGATGCATGCGTACCCCGGGCTCCTGTCTTGCACCGCCAGACATTGGGCACTGTCCCCGCACAGCCCCTGAGCGCAGAGCTGGGCACTGGAATGACAGTCCTGCCCCAACAAGCCGGGCTCACACTGGCAAACTAGTTCCCCTGGGTGGGCGCCGGTGGGCTGACATGTCGCATTGCCCTGGCAGATGGACAGTTGGCAGAGTGCACTGGAAGAATCGCAACGCGTGCTGGGCGCAGGCCACTGACACTGGCACAGGAAGTCAGATGGGGCTTCCCTGCACACTGCCCTGTTTTGGCAAGGCTTGTCCAGGCAGAGCGTTGAGGTCTGGAGAAGTGTTAAACCTACAAGGATTTGCAAAAAACAACAACAACACACTTATACGTGTAGAAAGTTGTCCCTGCTTCCCTAATGTACACGGGACAAAATGCAAAAACATAGAGGCTTCAGAAAACTTGCCTGATTGTGTGAAATTTGCATACTTTTCATTAAAAATTCTGCTTTAAAGTATCTCGTTTTGCAATGCAGAAGTAGACTATTTTCTGTGAATGTGCAAGATTCATTAGGTACTATAGGTAAATAACTAGAAGAATAACAAGTGCAGTAAATAGTAAAGCTTTTTATGCAACAAACCAGTGTGTTTATGATTATGACAATGAAATTAAATAACATGATAACAAATACCAGTTTGCAATTTAAAGCAGCATAACAAGCTGTTTTATACAGGTAAAATAACTAGCGAATGACACCGGAAGCCTTGCAGATTCAAGCTACAAATGACTGCGGCCACTCTTACGTTGAAAATAAGGTGGATAAAATCCTAAATAAATATGTCTGTGTATTCAACTAAAGCCCAAAGTATACTTCAAATTTCAAATGTATTGGTATTTTTCCTTTCACAGTACACATTGTTTCAAAGTAAATTTACAAAAAATTATGATGTTGACGTTTATAATATCCTAATATCTTCTCCTTATAGTTGCATTTAGCAGATTAGAGCTGGAAAATATAGTGTACATTTTGCGACAATACAAGTAATCATGCAATTGAGATATGATGTACAGTAAATATCACCTTACATAAATACACTGTAAATACACTGTATTTATGTGGATACAGTTTGACATATCTAGGAGCTGGGCGATAATATGGTTACATTTTGTGACTAAATAAAAAGGCAATTAAACTTTGCTTTATACTGTATTGCTTTACTTTGCTTGGCATAAAAGCATAGCCTTTCAACCTATACTTTATTTGAGCTCATGCCCAAACACAGGTGCTTGACACATGTTCACTGAAAAGTCTCATTCACGTTGCAGTGTCTGTAAAATTGCACACTTCCCCTTTAATACTCCTCTAAAAGTTTGCTAGTGAAAGTACAAACCCAATTCCAAAAAAGTTGGGATACTGTACAAATTGTGAGTAAAAAAGGAATGGAATAATTTACAAATCTCTTAACAACCTGAATTTTTTTTCTGAACCACTGATGTCACATGGACTATTTTAACAATGTCCTTACTACCTTTTATAGGCCTTGAATGTGTCAGTTCCGTTACTGTCTATACAAGGCCAGAAAGCTCTCGGATTTCATCAAAAATATCTGAATTTGTGTTCTGAAGATGAACAAAGGCCTTACGGGTTTGGAACGACACGAGAGTGAGGAATTAATGACAGAATTTTAATTTTTGGGTAAACTATCCCTTTAATCTCCGCCCCCTTTCTTTCAATTGTCTGCAAACTTGCATTCAGATCTTCCTCAATCAGTAACCAGTGGTTTGAACCAAACCCCTGGACTAATTTTTTTTTTTTTGTGTGATCATTTCTTATATTCAGATATATGTCACAATACGGAAGAAAAGATATGTCTGCCACATCACAACTTTAAGATAATTGCAAAAGACGACCTCTGTTGCACAAGATAAACCTAAACCGGTTGCGTGCACAAATTCTTGCAAACGTCTTACCATTTTAAAGGTATGAGAAATAATTTAACATAAAAAAACTGCCACACTTCCACTTCAGCGACAGTTTATGCATGTATACCTGACTGGTCAGACCTACACACCGCAGGGCCTGGATAGCTTTAGATAAAGCACATATATAAAAGCCTCCTTCCTGTATTCAGCTGGTCATTCTCGGAAATGCCAGACGAAACAATGCTCTCTTATCTATCCAAAAAACGGCTTAACCTCTGTGACAGCCCTATTCACGGCACTCGCAGCGCAAGGACGTTTGCAAACTTTGGAGTCTCAACAAAGCATCAAATTATGTCCCCATAGCAACGAATTCCACACATCCAGCTTTCCTTTTGCAGGGGTTGCTATGGAAACCGGCAAAAGACATAAGTCAGTCATTTAGGGGGTGTCTAGAAACCCCATTCAAACCCTGCAGTGTCTTTTTATTACAGCCTGTGCATTGAGACAAAGGCTAATAGTGCAAGCAATCATGAGCGCAATTTGGCAATGTTGTTATCAGGATTGCCTCTCATTCAAATTCAGGGGCCGTAGAGAGGAAACGCTTATAGATATTTGCTAATATGTAGGTTTATCAAAGTCAAGTCTTTAGGATATCAAAGCAATGTTTTTTGAGTGTGTTAAACACTGCATGTCTTTTACTTTCAAATCAAATGTTGATATTTTAACATGTTCACCAGCTGGGACCCGACTTGTCTGTTTTGGGGGATTTCGGTAAAATCAGCTTATAGGAAGTCTAGACCAGTGCTCAGCATGAGCCCACACACATCCCAAAAACACAAGGATGTCAAACCATATGTTCATATAAACAGCCCTCTATAATTCTCCTAAGATAATGCAAAGCGTCAAACTCAAATGTTATACAATGGTAAAAATGCACACATTTAAATGCCAATTTCGCTTGTGATGAAAGCAAACCCCAATCCTTTTAAATGTGCATAGTGTCCAGAAAATGAAAAGCGCAGCTCTGTTTCTAAGTGTCTTTGATGCAAAGGCTTTTATGTTCTTAAGTGCCACTGCGGTTGATGCATCCAGGGTTACGATACCCCTGACCACACTCTTGCAGAGCTGTTTCAAAGCAAAAGGGAATAATATCAAGCTATCAGATAGGCTTTTCCATCCATAAAAGAAGAACATTTGCATTTAGTAAATATATACACACACAGAAAAACCATCATGAAGTGTTTGACTTTACATTTTTAAAAATCACCTGAATAAACACTATGAACTAAAAATTGAGTTGCAGGTCAATATGAATACATTTTTTTAATTCTACAAAAAAAAAAAAAAGTGTAATGTGTAAATCTCTGCACTTTGACACTAGAACACTATCCAATAAGTGGACTAACAATAACGTCATTACGGCATAAAGCAACAGGTTGGACTACTTACTTTCTGTCCACTGCAGAAGAAGAAACAAGACACATGTAACTAATCTGAGCCACATTGAACCCAAAACCGTAAGATCCATATCCATACTTAGATGTCATTGTGATAGGTGGCAAGCTGGCATGATCACGGTGTGTTACTCAAGCATCCTCCGGTGTCTGTCTGTTTGTGGCTCTTTGAGTCTTAGCATGCTCTCATTCACATGTGCACCAATGAGGCGCATCTCTCTATATACTCAATACAAAGAGGCCTCTGGGGATTGGTGAAGACTTGAACAGAGAGGGGCCATCAAGCATTCTGTCTGAATAATAATTAGAAGGGGATGATAACATTGGATATTAAATAAGGAGCAGCAGACAAAATGCTGCTTCGCCCTCTTGCAATCACGGCCTTCCATCCACTCTAGTCTAATGACTCTCTCAGAAAGCTCTTAAAGTTAATTTAATGCAAAACAGACCATGCCATCTGCCAGGATTCATGGGTAAGAATGTGCACTGCCTTCCGGTTAAACAACTAACACATTTGTTTTCCAAGCCATGAACCTTGCATGGGTGAATCTGTCATTTCAACATTTTTTATCCGCGGTTAGTAATAATTCTCCACTATTATTACTATTGTATATTCCTTTCTTTCATTTTTTTCCTCAAATTTTTTTTTAAATGGTGAGGACTAAAATAAAAATGAATTTAATTAAATAGAAAAATACAAACATAGATTATTTTTTGTCCATTTTGGACTGTTATGAAAAGAACAAAAATAAGAAAATAAATAAATATTATTATTATAAATCATCGTGCAGTTCTACACTTCCATGGTCTACTTCTAAAAAGTGAATAAATAGAAATAACATACATATACATTTTCATAAAATGTGAATTATAAGAAATCATAATTTTCACAAAAAAATTGGATTGTTACAAACAGCATAAGAAAAATAAAAGAAATAGGCAATTACTATAAAAATAATCATTTAAAAGTCACCTTGAGTTTTGCAATTTAGCACAACTACGAGGTAAAGAAACATAATAACCTATACAAGCATATTCATTGGCATACGATGACTATACGAATTACATCACCAGTTTTTGAATACTAAAACCCTCAAAACAAACGCAAATTCTATCTCTCTTTTCTCATTTGCAGCTCAAAAAAGGGGGAAAACACTAATATTGTAACGCTAATAGCTGCTGCAAATAAGAACTCTATTCTTGTGATTTTTTTTTCCTTTTGAGGATCTTATTTCGTAATCATAAGTGCTGTGGACAAACGCTTAAACGCACACAATATGCATGCTGCCGTCTTTACACTTCAAACCACATGCAACAAATGGCCAGTCGGTTAAACCCTGACCAACAAGTGTCTGAACTCTTCCAACGTTGAACGTGCATGAAGCAGCTTCCTGCATTGTGGGCGTGTCTACAGATTTTTAAAGGAATCCTAGGACTTTGATTGGTTCGAGTTTGCTTTTCTTTCCAGTGATTGGACAATTCTATTAGCTGCAACGAGCTGATTGGCCGCCTGGTCTGTACTCAAATTCAAAACTTGCGACTACGCACTCTGGTTTTAAACGGTATTTCAATGCAGCTCAGCATCACTGACATGTGGATGTACTGAATCGCCGTTCATTTAGATGAGTTGTAAACATGTCGTTTAAAGTCGCGAAAGCGGAGTGTTTAGACTTTAGTCCAACATTTGATTCTCATTGTAGTCGCGATAAACCCGGCAAGGAAAACAACACTTCAATTCCTGTGCTGAGTTTGCTTCAGTTTTCTAGGTCTCCTTTCGTGTCGTTTGGGACGATCAAGTTGGGATCATCAAAATCTCTGCCTTTACGAATCGAAAATCCCACCGAGGATGCAACAACGACAGTCATTGTGGATAAAATTTCAGCATCCAACGGCTTTTCGGTTGATCAGAGGTCTTTTACAATACAAGTAAGAGTAAACAAGAAGCTATGTGTCTAAACCTAGTGAGCTTTCCAGCTTAACAAAACAAAGAAAGTCTATGAATGTGGTTAAAAAAAGTGTATTGCCTATTACAATTACGTTAAAGTAAAATAAATATCGTACTATGTGAATGAGACATGTTTTTTTAGTGTATGCATTGGATAGGGTTTATTCAGATTACAGAATTTACACATGCACCAAGCTATTTTGCAATCTGTAGAGAAATAACTCACCAAGAAATGAACATTTTTATTAATTCACCTGTATCTTTATATTTCTTTATTCTGTGGACAACATTCAAATGGTATTTGTGCCATCTAAATATGAGCATATTAAAAATGAGTGTGTTATTGATTACAAAACACACGAGAAGCAGCTGCCTTGGATGTGGTAGTTTGTCAAACCTGATGGGACACATCTTGACACTCTATATTTGAGAATATGCAAAGGTAGAGCTTATCTGTGCTGAGATGAATAAGTGTGTTGTGAAAAAGACCACAATTTACCTATGGAATATTCCGCATGAGTTTTCTTTTATGCTGCCTTTTGTCATTTTTGGAGCTTGACAGCTCAGACAGTCCCTATTCACTTTCACTATATGGAAAAGAGCTGCATGAACATTCTGCTAAATATCTCATTTCGAGCTCCACTGAAGAAAGTAGCCTAAGTCGTAAGTTTGGAACGGTTTGAAGGAAAGTTACTTAAATGCACATTGTCTATTTTTCAGCCTGAAGACAGCATTATTTATTGGATGTGGTAGTTTATGTCAAACCTGATGGGACACATCTTGACACTCTATATTTGAGAATATGCAAAGGTAGAGCTTATCTGTGCTGAGATGAATAAGTGTGTTGTGAAAAAGACCACAATTTACCTATGGAATATTCCGCATGAGTTTTCTTTTATGCTGCCTTTTGTCAATTTTTGGAGCTTGACAGCTCAGACAGTCCCTGTTCACTTTCATTATATGGAAAAGAGCTGCATGAACATTCTGCTAAATATCTCATTTCGAGCTCCACTGAAGAAAGTAGCCTAAGTCGTAAGTTTGGAACGGTTTGAAGGAAAGTTGCTTAAATGCACATTGTCTATTTTTCAGCCTGAAGACAGCATTATTTTAACTGTTACTTGAGCGTCACACGCACTTCAGTATTTGTGTAGTATGGAAAGCCAAAAGAGTCAGAATTACATTATAGATAAATTGTGTTAACAGCATTAGCGCCATCAAATACGCCGTCCTGATAGCAGACGCCGTAAAAATGTGCGTAAATGGTAAAAAAACACCATATTTAACGGCATTTTAGTGTTTGTAAAAAGCGCCTCTTAATGCCGTTTGGCTTGCCACAGGACGCCGTAAAAAAATGCTGTTCTGATTGCACAAAAGCGTGTTAATTACAGCGCTTTCCTTGTAGTATAATAAGCCACGTCCGCTGATTTCCACAGCCATTAAGTTTGAATTGCTCTCACCCAATCAATGAACAGAACCAGACCAGACTAATTCACCACGAACGTTTTAGTGGAAGAAGTGCCTGTGAACTGATAGGAAATATTTATGTACGAAGTTAACTTTTTGTATATTTTCATTAGGGATGCACCGATATGAAAATTTTGGCCGATACCGATAACCGATTATTCTTTATTTTTGAAAGCCGATAACCGATATGTTGGCCGATAAATCTATATCGCCAGCACCCCAGAGAGGTTTGGAAAGCCATTGTGCTTTGAGAGTCCACTTCCGGTGATTGGACAATTCGCACAAGATCAAAGTCGAGAGTCAGAGAAACCGTCTCTGTCTGTAAAAGATGCTCTGGATGTTATAGGATCAGATCTGTCGCATGCGGTGAGTCCACCTAATGCTTGCTCAAGCTTTGATTTTTCTGATTCTCTTGAGTCTGAAAAACCAGATCCAGAAACTTCATTTAGAGCAGCTGCAGTCATTTCACCACCAGTTGAAGGTGCTCACCCAAGGTTGACTTTCTGTGTGAAACCCAACAAAGTCATAGGCATTGAATCAAATCTTGATGCATTTAGGCTGCAGGCGTTAACTTTTAGCAGCACCACAGTGACCAAGTCAAATAAAGTGGATGATGCCCTTGTTCCTGATGGTCCCAAGAAGTTTCCTGTGAATTCTACCACAGTGACCAAAGGCAAAGCAGAAGCTTCTGTCGAGAGTCCAGGCTTGCGTAAGAAGAAAACCTCCAGGCGCAGGCTCTTGGAGAAGACCTTAGAGCTCTCAGAACCAAGTAATGCAGAATCCAACACAAGTTCTCCTGACAGCATCTCTGCTTTACCTGTCATTAGCTCAGATTCAAGTCCAGATGTGGCACTAGAGCCCACATTTTCTCTAACTTCAATACAGGTTTCAAAAGAGAAGCCAATCTTAAAGTTATCCCCTCCTGAGCAGCTTTTGTCTTCTATATCTCCCATACAACCTCAAGTTTTGCCCTCCGTTAGTAGCTGCCCGTCAAGCGGTCTGGAGTCAGCAGCTGGTAACGTCTCTGACAAAGTGCAACCAGGTCTTAATCAGGATCCTGTGGAATGCAGGACATTTGTGCAGAGTAAAAAGAGAAAAAGTGATGAGTTTTTGAGAGGTCACTCGGAAGACAAGTCAAACATCCGAGCAAAAAAGTGCCGTGCTCCGGCTCATGCAACAGAGAGACCAAGCCATGAAAGAACGTTCACTTCAAGGTCCACATCTGGACAGCAACGAAAAGCTATAGGTAATTCAAGTGTACTCATTGTGCATGTTATACAGCAAATCTAGTATGCATTATCAAATACGTTCTGGTATAGATTATTTGAGACGTTTGGACATTCTTTTTAAATGAATAAAACCTCTTTTTTTTTTTTTTCCTAAAGCTCCACCAAGTTCAAGAAAGTTCACAAAACCTCCACCAAAGAAATCCTCTCCAAAAACGACTCAAAAAGGTAAGAATACATTGTGTTCCTCCTTTTTAGAATGGCAGGTCTTGAAATAGACTTTGAATAATGTACCAGATGTTTAGTGGAAATACCATTTTAAATGTATTTGACTGATATAGATGGTCGGTCTGTGAAGTCACTGAGCAGCTCAAGTCGAAAGACTGCAAGGATCGTGGCTGTAGCGCAGGCCAAACTGACTTTTATGAAGCCGACACAGACTGGTATGTTTTTACTGCTATATTCTCATAATTTTTGTTGTATTTTAAGAGGCATAGTATTTTGCATTGTACAATCCTGACAGCCATACCGAGACATCCACTGCCATTTGCTGCAAAGAACATGTTTTATGATGAACGATGGATTGAGAAGCAGGAGCGGGGCTTCACCTGGTGGATGAATTATATTCTCACTCCTGATGACTTCAAAGTTGCTACTGAAGTTACCAAAGGTTGGCTCTTTCGTTTTTGTTCATATACTTTGAATTTGAATCATTTTAAGTAGGCCTGGGCAATAAAACTGTATTGATATTTATCGACGGTACACCTTCTTCGATAACGATATTAAAAAATGTTCGATATAGGCACGTGCTATGAGTGACGCAGACAGCACACACAAACATGAACACATGCTGAATTGAGTGCTGTGCTTGCCTGTGATGAGGAGATGGTGAATAAAAAAAAAAAAGAATATTAGTCGAATTTAAAATAAACATTTGCATTTGAATGTTAGGAGTGTGTCAGGGAGCGTCATCAGTGGCGCACGAGATGCGGTGATAAAGATGTAAGTGCATTGTTGCATTTTATTGTTTTGTTAGTCTAGCCCACGAGATGCGCCGCTGCTGTGTTATGCATTCAAAATATTAGAGAAATATAGAAGCTCAATGCGGAGAAGATCTCGATTAGGTGAAAACCGAAACCAAGCCGTTCACACAGAACGCATATTCAGCGCATTTTTATGCATTTTTAACATGCATTTTAGACAGACAAATAAGACTGCTGCACTCGCGTCTCACACAAGTAGGGCTGGGTATCGAGTTTGATACTTTTTAGGCACCGACCGAATTGCCTCGATACCATGGAGCAGTCTGCTCTCTTTAGCTCTCGTGGTACTGTAATACACCGATCGGTCTGCACAGTCGGTCCGTGTCAAGTCGAACACACCTACTAGTTTACACCTGTTACACTCAGAGATGTGGCGCACACGTGAGGCTGTAGTGTGAATGCGTCCCAGCCCCCTTAGATGTAAGGCTACATTTACACTGGTGCGTTTGTTTTAAAATGAAAACGATCCTCGTCATACTGGTGTTTCAAGCCGGCTTTCCACTGTCTCCGACAAGCGACAGAACGGTCATTTAGTCATTCATTTCCAATGGAGAGTAGCGCGGGAGCTGCGTGGAGTTCCGATCATATGCAGATGTCCGTTCATACTACACGACCAAAAGCGCATGTTATGTGGTCATTCATGCAAACTGTAGCATCATGCTACATAAGACAATAAATAAGATTTATATTCCGCTTTTACTCAACTCACTTTAAACCACCATCGAGTGTTTGTAATAACTTCTGATTGCCGTCTAATGTGTGTTTTGGTCATGTAATGTTGCTGAAATTAAATATGTTATTACCTCTGAGTCCGAGCAGCGATCATGGAAGAGAGAACACAGGCAGACAGCACTGGAAGTTGCTAATGCTCATCAGTAAATCATTGGAAAATAAATAGAAATCATGATTCTGTCTGAGTTATGCGTTTTAAAACGAACACGCACTAGTGTAAATGTAGCCTAACAGATGTGTAAACTGAAGACTATTTGAGCTTTATTAAAACTATTTGCACTGATTTATTTTGTTGGTTACGTTTTGTTCCTTTGTGCAGTGGCTCAGGAGATGAGTCTTTGAGATTATATAAACATCAACAAGCTGAAAAATAAAACCAAATTTTTTTTTTTAGATAATGTAATCTTGTTAAAATTGATTTCATAAAATTAATATCGAAAAAAAGTATCGTTCAGGAACCGGTATCGAAGTCGAGGTATCGATATCGGAAATTTTTGAACGATGCCCAGCCCTACATACAAGCAATGTAGCCATGCAAAGTTAAAACAGTTTAAACTTTTAGAAAACATGTCGCGAATTTGTGGATGTTTATTCCTTTTCACTGCGTCTTTTTAAATGCAATCTGTGTGATGGGTAATTCGGCTCTTTGTATTAAGCAATGCATAGTCTAAATACGTGATGCTGTTTTGTTCATAATTGTTTATGCAATTTACGAAATTATATTTGATTTATATGAGTTATAAATTAATAAAAAAAAGTTAAAAAGTTAATTTAGACGTAATGCAGGTTTTTTTATAGACTTTTGTTTCCTTGCGTTGACAATTTAAATGTGCTGCATTATTTTGCTAATTGCTAATCCTGTGGCCTTGGGAGACAAGCCAAAAGTTTCCTTAAACCTTATTTAATCTGCATATAAAACATTAGAAATTTGATATTTGTTTACTTTTAAAACAAAAAATATTTGTTGTTTGTCTCAATAAATTGGGTTAATTTTAAAATAAAGTGGTTAAATAAAAAAAGATAAAATTGTATTGCTTTGTTTTACAATTCGATACCGAACGATATAAAAACATTATATCTTTGATATATTTTTTAGCTATATTGCCCAGCCCTAATTTTAAGTTATTTCCGCAGCATTCTTTTAACATCTTTCTTCCTTTTATTGTGTCTTAGTGAATGCCTTATCATTAACTATGGGGAACGACAAATTCAACATACCCAAAGCACCTACAAAAGAAGAGATGTCTTTTAGAACCTACACAGCCCGTCAACGGCTAAACCGCCTTCGACGAGCAGCTTGCAAGCTTTTTACATCAGACACCATGGTAAAGGCCATCCAGAGACTCGAACTGGAAGTGGAAGCCAAGAGGCTCCTTGTGCGAAAGGACAGACATCTCTGGAAGGACATAGGTATGAGATGCAAAACGTTATATGCTTTGTCATTGTGAATTATGCTTGTAGGACATGGGCACATCTAACTGATCGTTGTGATCATGTTTTTAAAAAGTTTCTTGTGCTCAGCAAGGCTGCATTTATTTGATCACAAAATACAGTAAAACAGTAGTTTTATGAAATATTGTTTTATAAATATATATTTTTTTACTTTAATATATTTTAGAATGTAATTTATTCCTATGGTGCAAAGCTGAATTTTCAGCATCATTACTCCAGTCATCAGTGTCACATGATCTATCAGAAATTATTATAATATGATGATTTGATGCTAAAGAAACATTTATTATCAGTGTTGAAAGCAGTTGTGCTGCTTAATATTTCTGTGGAAACCATGATAGGGTTGTTTTTTTAGGATTCCTTGATGAATAGAAAAAATGGAAATCTTTTGTAACATTATAAATGTCATTACTGTCAATGTATATCAATATAATCTGTACTATAAAATACTATTAATAAAAAAAACAAAAAAACAATTGTACTACTAAAAATACTCTTACTATGCTAAATATTGTAAATATTTGTTTTAATGGACTAATTTATTTATCGTCTCTTAAAGGTATAGTTCACCCAAAAATTTAAATTACCCCATGATTTACTCACTTTCAAGCCATCCTAGGTGTATATGACATTCTTCTTTCAGACAAATACAATCTGTGTTATATTTAAAAAATCCTGGCTCTTCCAAGCTTTATAAGTGGATGGTAGTCCAAAATTTGAAGTCCAAATAGTTGAACCAATCCATTATTAAAAAGTCCACACTGCTCCGGGGGGTTAATAAAGGCCTTCTGAAGTGATGCGTTTGTGTAAGAAAAATATCCATATTTACAACTTTATAAAGGGGTCATATGATGCTGCTAAAAAGAACATTATTTTGTGTATTTGGTGTAATGAAATGTTGTTTATCCGGTTTAAAGTAAAAAAAAAAAACACATTATTTTCCACATACTGTACATTATTGTTTCTCCTCTATGCCCCGCCTTTCTGAAACGCGTTGATTTTTACAAAGATCATCGGTCTGAAAAAGCGAGCTGTGCTGTGATTGACCAGCTATCCAGTGCGTTGTGATTGGCCGAATTCCTCAAGCGTGAGACGGAAATGTTACGCCCCTCACCATACTGTGATGACTTGTCCCGGAGCGACGAGACAAAAACATTAAAACCCATTACAAACGAGGCATTTGTTACATCAAGTGGGGACATAATTACTGATTTTAATGACTTATACTGTCTTTTTACGCGTTGCGATGCATTGATGAAAACCCTGTCAGCATTTGTGATCAGAGAAATGACAAACAACAAGTGCTACTCCACACTGCCCAAAACACGCGTTTGAATCATCAGTGGCAAATGATAAAAGAAAACGTAATTACAGACTGAGAGTCAGAACAGCCGTCATTGTAGTCTACTCTCCCTGGATCAGTAAACAGTCCTCCATAAAATGTGCCAGCGATCCACAGCACTAAGTTGGTGTATTTCCTCAGCGACCAGCACAGATCAGCTCTAGGCATGACGAAGCGAATATCGTCCTCTTTTGGAAGACCAAACAAAGTAGTTTCGCTTTCACAACGAAAAACACAGCGGCCTAGCTTGAGCGAAAGCCCCGGCTTAGCGTGAGCTGAAGCCGGGCAAGAGTGAGCTGAGGCGGCGGGGTCAAGAACGGCGGTCCCGGTGAAGGAGCGGTGAAAACGGTGAAAGGCGATCCACAGCACTAAGTTGATGTATTTCCTCGCTGACCAGCACGGATCAGCTCCAGGCATGACGAAGCGGATATAGTCCTCTTTTGGAAAACCAAACAAAGTAGTTTCGCTTTCACAACGAAAAACACAGCGGCCTAGCTTGAGCGAAAGCCCCGGCTTAGCGTGAGCTGAAGCCGGGCAAGAGTGAGCTGAGGCGGCGGGGTCAAGAACGGCGGTCCCGGGGAAGGAGCGGTGAAAACGGTGAAAGGCGATCCACAGCACTAAGTTGATGTATTTCCTCGCTGACCAGCACGGATCAGCTCCAGGCATGACGAAGCAATATCGTCCTGTTTTGGAAGGCCAAACAAAGTAGATTCGCTTTCACAACGAAACGCACAGCGTCTGCAGGACATGGCGGACGGCGGCAACAACAATACTACAGAGAGAATAAAAGTTACGCCGCCTTTCTTTGCGTGAACATTTGGGCGGCGTTATGCAAATCTTCCCACATAGTGAGGTAGATATGTGGGGGCGTGTTCAAACGAGCCGTTTTAGGCAGGTGTGGCTGACTCTGAACTTTTATAAAGAATATCTCTTTGGATTTGAGACTTAAGTCTTTGCAAATTTACAGATCTTCTTTATGCACCAAGAGCTTGTAACACTCCAAAGAGAAAGGAAAAAATGAAATCGCATCATATGACCCCTTTAATCTAGCTTCCGCTAACTGTCATACACACATTCACGAAAGAGTGGCGTCCAGCGGATGACGTAGGACGTAGGCAAACACGTGACGAATGCGGAAGTGCAGAGGAGAGAGCAAAACAAAACACCAGTCACGAATTAGTAGTTCAAAACGAAGATTTGTAAAGAAAAATGTCGGAGGATTTCAATATAAGCCAAGAGGACACTGGTTTTCCTTTGCCGTAAACAAAACTTGTTTCTCGCGAGACTAGCATATTCTCACTGGAGCTTATGCTATGCTTACTTCCTACGTCATCTGCTGAAAGCCACTCTCTCGTGAACGCGTGTACGACCGTTAGCGGAAGTTAGAGATTAAGGTTTATAAAGTTGTAAATATGGATATTTCTTTTACACAAACGCTTCGCTTCGGGAGGCCTTTATTAACCCCCCGGAGCCATGTGAACTTCTTTTAGAATGGATTGGTTCAGTTTTCTGGACTTGGAATTTTGGGCTACCATCCACTCCTATTATAAAGCTTGGAAGAGCTAGGATGTATTTTAATATAACTCCCGATTGTATTCGTCTGAAAGAAGAAAAAGTCACATACATCTAGGATGGCTTGAGGGTCAGTAAATCATGAGATAATTTTCATTTTTTGGGTGAACTAATCCTTTAAGGTGAATCTTTTCTCATTTTTCACCTTTTTTGTTTATTTCTCAGGTGAGCGTCAGAAAGTTCTTAACTGGCTGATATCATACAATCCACTTTGGCTGCGAATCGGATTTGAGGTATTTACTTTTCTTTGGGAAAACATAATGTTCACTTGTCTGCTTGCTGAAAATATATTAAAAAAAATTATTCATTGGCTACATTCTGTTTTCTTGTATGACATATCACTTACCCATTCCTTGTTTCAGACAATCTTTGGAGAGCTAATATCACTTGAAAGCAACAGTGATGTCATGGGACTGGCCATGTTTATTCTTGGACGTCTGCTGTGGAACCCAGACTTAGCTGCTGAGTTCAGGCACCCTAAAGTGCCCCATTTGTACAGAGATGGTAATTGAATTTATTTATTGAAATTAATTAATTTATAAATTAATTTTTTAATTTTTTATTTTTTTTATATTATTTTTTTTCATAGTGTTTATTATTATTATTATTTCTTTTTACTTTTGCAAACAGTATGTCTGTTACAACAGGTTCTTTATTTTTTCACTTTCACTCATCAGGCCACGAGGAGGCGCTTTCTCGCTTCACTTTAAAGAAACTAATCCTGCTCGTCTGCTTCCTGGATAAAGCCAAAGAGTCCAGACTGATCGAACATGATCCTTGTTTGTTCTGCATGGATGCTGAATTTAAGGTGTGAGGGTTTATGTATATATTTTAAACAGGGAAAAAAGGTAGCATAAAGGCAGTTAAAACACAATAAGTAATTTCACAATAGTGCACTTTTTTTGTATTTTTCTGTACTTCCTTCCCTATAGTCAAGCAAAGATCTGCTCCTAGCGTTCTCTCGGGACTTCCTCAGCGGTGAAGGCATTTTGTCACGGCACCTCAGCCACTTGGGCCTAGATGTATCCCATGTTCAGACACCTCTGGATGAGTTCAACTTTGCCGTGAAGAATCTTGCTGTTGACTTGAGATGTGGCATTCGTTTGGTGTATGTTTGATTTGAAAATGTTCATTTTTGCATGTTTATTGTTCATGCGTCATAATAAAATGTCTTTGCTGTTGTTACCCAAGCCAATATTTAGATTTGACATTTAGAAAGCCTATATATATATATATATGTATATATATCTCTGCACTAAATGTTTCTATATTCATCTTCAGACGGGTCATGGAGCTCTTCACTCTGGACTGGACTTTGTCTAGAAAGCTGCGGATACCCGCTATTAGCCGCCTGCAGAAAGTGCACAATGTTGATGTTGCACTACAGGTTCTGAAAGACAAAGGTGTTGACCTTAGAGATGAGCATGGTGAGTTTCTTGATGGTAAATAACTAACAGTGCCTTTAGAATCTGAATGAAAAAAAAAAGCACTCTGAATTTGTCATCATTGTCTTGAAGGAGCGAACATTGACTCCAGAGACATTGTGGATGGACACAGGGAAAAGACCCTAAACCTCCTGTGGAAAATCATATTTGCCTTCCAGGTATCGACCAGGGCTGAATAACACATCTTCTTCTTTTTTTTAATTAATTAATTTATTTATTTTATAAATAATTTGTATGACTGATGCTTATTTTAATATCTTCTGATAATGTATGTGTGACTGTTTTAAATATTGACCTTACATTCTGATGCACTTTTTTCTCTATAGGTGGAAGTGCTACTTGATGAGAATCAGCTCAAAGAGGAAATAAGTTTCCTCCGGAAAACGTGGAGGACAAAACAGAAGCTGGCCTCATTAATGGCTAACGGTGGGATTGCAGTGACCAGGATGAAGGCGAGACAAGCATTTGAACATCCCAGCCAAAAAGTGACACTGCTTATGGACTGGATCAGTGCAGTTTGTGAGTTCTACAGTTTAAAGGTGAGTCACATTAAAGAAATAGTTTGCTTGTTTATTCATTCAATACAGGTTTGTTGATCCAAAGTTGTATTTGTTTTTTCTGGAAGTATTGCAGAAAGTTAATCCTGCATAGGATCCTTTTCTGAACAATATCTCTCCATTATTTTTCCAGGCTGAAAACTTCACGGTGTCATTCTCAGATGGTCGTATCCTGTGCTACCTCATTCATCATTACCATCCTGGTCATCTCCCTGCAGAAGAGATTCAACAGAGAACAACGCAGACCATTGAATGTGGCCATCGTGGCAGAGTGGAGCTCAATAACTCCTCGACTGACTCGGACTGCTCTTTTGAAAATTTGCCCACAGTACAAACTGGTACTTTGAATAAATGACTTTTTTTTTTTTTTATGTATTTTTAGATGAAACATTCCCATAATTGTGTGGTAATTTATACATTTTAACACCATAAATGTCTCAGAATGGTTTGCTTTTTTTTGTTTTTACCTTGTGTTCAGAATCCCCGTCAGTGAACTTCAGAGAGCTACTTGAGAATGAGAGAAGTAACTTTCAGTTGGTGAACACTGCCGTGTCTTATCTTGGAGGGGTGCCTGCGATGATAAATCCAGAGGATATGTCCAACACCATCCCAAATGAAAAGGTAAAAATGATTGTAATCCCCTTCCACATTTTGGGTTCGCAGCAAAACATACTTGTTGAAAAAAAACTGAGATTGTGTTGAAATGCTTTTTTATATTAATGTATATTTAATGCGTATTGATAAATTGTGACTTTTTTTTAACCCAGGTTGTCATGTGCTACCTCTCCTTCCTCTGTACCCGTCTTTTGGATCTCCGCAATGAAACGAGAGCAGCCCGGGTCATCCAGGGTGCATGGCGGAGATACAAGCTACAGAAGGACATTGAGATTATTCAGGTAAGAGTACAGTTTTTCTACTTTGTAAAGCTGCTTGGAACCTTTCTATACTTAGTTTTTTTTTCTTATGTTGAATATGCTCTGCCTGCACAGCAAAAGAACTTGGCTGCCACTAAAATCCAAGCCGTTGTGCGGAAGTTCATCTTGAGAAGAAGAATGATTCAACAAAATAAAGCAGCCATCAGGATCCAGAAATTCTGGAGAGGATACGTTGCACAGGAAAAGTTGAGAGTGCTGAAAAATGAGAAACAGTTTGCTCTTCAAAATGCAGCTGCAACTGTAATTCAGGTATTTTCAAGACAATATGTAACACAGCTCATCCTGTACTGTTCTACCTAGTTATATAAAATTGTAATATTTCAGCAGTTAGTTCATTAATAAATCAATTATGGATTCTCTTCTAGATGGCTAATTTAAATTTTCTTGTCCTCCCATAGAAATTATTCAAAGCTTGGAGGATTCAAAGTCTCCTAAAGAAAAACCATGCCGCCTCTGTGATCCAAGCAGCTTTCCGGAAGTGGCATGCAAAAAGATTGCTGGAAAGAAATGCTGCAGCCTTGCGCATTCAAGCATGGTACAGAATGCAGTGTTGTAAATCCCAATACCTGGATATGAAAAGGAAATCTGTTTGTGTTCAAGCATGGTTCAGAGGTCACCTTCAAAGGTACAAGTTCCAGGCTTTAAAGAAAAGGCATGATGCTTCAGTTGTCATTCAGAGTGCATTCAGGGCCTACCTCGTCAGAAATCACATATCTAAAATGAAGCAAAATGCAGTTTTGATTCAGAGGTGGTTTCGAGCCTGCATTCTAAGAAAAGCAGAACAGAAGAGGTATGTTAAGATTAAATGGGCAGTTCTCGCTCTGCAAGCAGCTTTCCGTGGCTGGAAAGTCCGACGATCTGTGGCTCAGCACCACCAAGCTGCACTTCTGATTCAAACTGCTTTCAGGCGGTTTATGGCCCAAAGGCACTGTTTACGTTTAAAAAGATCGGCCATTGTTCTGCAACAGAGATTCAGAGCTAAAGTACTTGGAGACAAGTTACGACAAGAGTATATGGCTCTTAAACTCGCTTCAGTAACAATTCAAGCAATTTGGCGAGGATGTGCTGAGAGGAGGAAGATCAGTCAACTTCACAGATTTGCCAAAATCATTCAGTCGAACTACCGTAGATATGTGGCACAGACACGGTTTTTGGAAATGAAACGGGCTGCCATAGTCATTCAAAGACAATACACAGCCTTCAGAGATGGGCGGAAAGTGTACGCAGAATACACTGAAATGAAAAGAGCAGCCATTGTGCTACAGAGTGCTTATCGTGGCAAGAGAGCAAGACAAGAACTGCAGAAGAAAAACAAAGCAGCGACTTTGATTCAGTCTGTGATAAGAGCACATAGTTGCCGTCAGAGGTTTTTAGCTCTAAAACATGCAGCTATTGTCATTCAGCAACGCCATCGGGCTTTCGCACTTGGACGGTTGGAAAGAAGCCATTACGTCCATTTGAGGCAGGCAACTATAACTCTACAGGCCATATATCGGGGTTCCAAAGTGAGGCAAAATCTGAGACAAGAGGATCAAGCCGCTACTATCATTCAATCTCAATTCCGAATGCATAAGGTACGCATTGCCTTTCTTGCTGCAAAGTGCGCAGCTATCATCATACAGCAGCAATACAGAGCCTACAGAGTTGGCAAATGCATGCAAGCTACTTACTTGCAAATGAAAAATGCTGCTGTAGTTATTCAGTCAGCATTCAGGGGAATGAAAGTTCGCAGCTACTTAAGAAAATCTCACCAAGCGGCAACAGTGATTCAGGCACATTTCCGTGGACATTCCCAACTCAAAAAGTACCAAAGACAACAGTGGGCCGCATCAGTTTTACAGCAGCGATTCAGGGCAGTGATGACTAAAAATACTGTCATGAACGAATATATAGCCATAAAAACAGCTGCCATATGTATCCAGTCAGCTTTCCGTGGAATGATGGTAAGAAAGCAAATTGCAGAAAGTCACAAATCTGCAAAAATGATCCAGAAGACATATAGAGCATACAAGCAACGCCATGATTACCTTACTCTCAGAAATGCCACTATTCGTGTTCAGCAACAGTACAGAGCAATTGTAAGTGCAAGGCAACAACACAAAAGGTATTGCTCCTTGAGATCAGCCGCCATCACTTTGCAGTCTATGTACCGAGGGTTGAGGGTAAGGAAGGAAATCGACAGAAAGCATAAAGCGGCCTCTGTGATTCAGGCAATGTACAAAATGTACAGAACTAGGGTACCATTCCAAGCTATGAAACTGGCTGCATTGGTCATACAGAGGCAATACAGGTGCCATCTACTGAGAAAAGAGGCAAGAGAGAACTTTTTGAAGCTACGGTGTAGTGCAACTGCAATTCAGGCTATTTACAGAGGAAATCGTACACGCCGTGACATTGCTAGAATTAATTTTGCAGCCACGGTCATTCAAAGGAAGTACCTTGCCCACAAACAGAGAAAGTGCTTTTTGTCCATCAGAGCTGCTGTTGAATTCTGTCAACGGCACTATAGATCCGTTTTGGTAGCAAGGCGCGATCGGAGAGATTATTTTGCCAACCGCCGAGCTGTTGTTGCAATCCAGGCAACTTTCAGAGGAATGCAGGTCCGGCGACAGATCCGAAGAGAGCATGAAGCTGCAACAATCATTCAGTCCCATGTGAGGAAGCACATCTTCAAGTTGCGCTTCCAGCGACTTCGGTGGGCAGTCTGTACTGTTCAGCAACGTTTCAGAGCTAACAAAATGATGAGACGAGAGATGGCAGCACTGCAGGAACAGAAGAGTGCTGCCTTGATTCTGCAAGCAGCCTATCGTGGCATGAAGTCCAGACAGACTTTGAAGCAAATGCATCAGGCTGCCACCACCGTTCAGGCGACTTTCAGAGCTTATAGTGCTCGTAAACTGTATTTAGCCATGAAATGCGCTGCCATTGTCATTCAGCGAAGGTTCCGTGCCACAAAGGTAGCAAAACAGCAGAGGAAGCATTTTCTTGAAATGTACCATGGTGCACTTGTTCTTCAAGCATGTTATAGAGGTCTTAAAGTTAGAAGGCAGCTACTACAACAGCGTCAAGCAGCTGTCTTGATTCAGTCTTATTTTAGGAAACACAAAGAGATGGTTAAGTACCAGGCCATGAGGTTGTCAGCTATCATTATCCAGAGGCATTACAGATCATACATCCAGGCTACAGCAGATCGGGAGAACTATCTACGTTTACGAAAGTCCGCCATTGTCCTTCAAGCAGCTTTTCGAGGACACTCTCTAAGGAGACAACTGGCAGAAAAGCAAGAAGCGTCCATCATCATACAGGCTGCTTTCCGGATGTACCAGCAAAGGTCCACATTTAAGAGACACCGCTGGGCAGCAAGGGTCCTCCAGCAGAGATTTAGAGCTCGGAAACGTCGAGACGAGCAGATGCGTAGATACCAGCAGGTAAGAAATGCTGCTGTATGCCTGCAGAAGTCTTTCAGAGGGATGAAGGAGAGAGAACTGTCCAGACGAAGCAAGGCTACAAGAACCATCCAGTCCTACCTAAGGATGGCTGTCCAACGACAGCGTTTCTTGAAAGAAAAGGCTGCGGCAATTGCGATTCAGTCTGCGTACAGAGGCCATTGCGCCAGAGTTCAGCATGCCAGGATGCAAGCAAACTCAACTGTCATCCAGAAGTGGTACAGATCACTTAAACTGGTCCAGAAAGATCAGAATGGTTTTGTTGCTCTTAAGCAAGCTACGCTTACCTTGCAATCTGCCTTGCGTGGAATGCTAGCGAGGAGGCTTGCAAAAAGAAGGTGGGCTGCAATCAAGATTCAGTCTGTGATGCGCATGCATGTACACCGCAAATGCTACATGACGCTTCGCTCAAGTGTCCTGAAGTTGCAGGCTCATTACAGAATGTTTGTGGCCCAAAGAAGATACCGCAGGTTGCAGGCAGCAACTGTTACTTTCCAAAAGCATTACAGAGCTCATAGGGCAACAGTGGAGCAGAGGAGCAGTTATCTGAAGACTCTCCAGAGCATAAAGATCCTTCAGGCTAGAGTGCGTGGACACATTGAGTACAGAAGTTTTCAGAGATTGCGTGCAAGTGCCATCACAATTCAGGTATGCAATTCACCATACTTGTATTCTGTCTTGTCATTTATTTAATCCTGATTCACTTTGGAAATTCAACAGAAGTGATTAGGAGGCTTAACTGGGAAGGCCAAACTTTTTTTTCTTACCCCCAAACAGTCACGTTACCGAGGATTGATTGAGAGACGCAGGTTTCAGCAACTCAAGGAATCTGTGTTGGTCATACAGAAGTGTTACAGAGCTTTCCGTCTCTTCCAGAGAGAGCGTGCACAGTTTCTTCAACTGCGAAAGTCTGCTGTTGTGATACAAGTAAGCATGTAACAACTCTAAAATAATTTTTTCTTAATTTTTCCTTGAACCTCTAGCACTGGTTCCTGCTAAAATCTTGCTTCTGTTTATTTAATATACACTTTTGTGTTTCTGCTGATGATCCTGTTTGAGATATTTGGATTTAAGTGTGTATATTTGATTTTTATGTTTGGTTTGTCTCTGGTTTACCTCAGAGAGCATTTCGGGCTTATCAAACACGACAACATGCTGTGCGAGCACAGGCAGCTCGGAAAATTCAGGCCTGGTTCCGAGGACGCATAGCTAGACGAAACTACATTTTAAAACAAGCTGCTGTTGCAACCATTAGTCGGTGTATTCAAGCAAGACGCCAGCGTTCAAGGTAACAAATAAAGGATATTATATTATTCTCTTCTGCTTTTAAATTGTCACAAGAAGTCACATGGCCATTTGTCCTTCACTATTAAGATTTCTAGCAGTCCAGCACAGTGTCCGAGCCATTCAGCAAAGATGGAGGGAAACTCTAATCGCCAGAAAACAGCACGCTGACTTCTTGAGGTTTACAAAATCTGTTATATACATCCAGGCACTATGGAGAGGTCAAAGAGTGAGAGATTCCATTCAAAAGGTGCTTGTTCTTTTTGTGGGAATAAACATTTATTATAAAATGATTTTTTATATATTTCTGTCCTTAAAGGTGCTGTCAACTAGTGTGTGTGTGTATATATATTTCAATAATTTAAGATTACTGAGATTAAGTTTTGATAGTCATGTGATTTTCAACATGGCAGCCTAATGATGCGACCCGCTCAATGTAGCATAAATCTTTTTTTGGGCTACTGATACAACTGGAGTCTTTTCATACGAATGATTTTAAACATTTATTTGAAGAACTGTTATTGTCTTTGTGTAAAACTTTTTAATAATAAAAAAAAGATTGAGTGCTCCTTTAAGTTGGATGTAGGTGAACTTTGAAATGTCACACTGTTTTGTGACCAGTTTGCATAAATTCCGGTAATCAAAATTTACTTTGTGCAACAATTACATCACTTAGTAAATACACACAGTCTAACTAAAGTTTGTTCTCTGGAGATAAAAAAAAGTTTCAGAGAAACTCTTACCAAAGTCCATTCATTTATGCAGGGATTGTTGACATTATCCTGTGTAATTTTGCTTGTGTTGCCAAGTATTTCCTTTGGTCTGTTAGGCCTTGACTGATTTTTTTTTAAATAATTGGGTCAATTGCCCTGTTAGTGTGTTGTGCTACATGCTAAACTTTTGCTTTGACTTCAAAAGAAGCGCTGAAGCTATAGAAACAGTCCTACTATTCACAAATGTATTTTTGACACAAATGTTTAGCAATTTTTTGAAATCATCACTAAGCCTTCAGTCTATTAATTTTTTTCACAGCAAATAACCGCTACTGTGAAGATACAGTCAGCTTTCAGAGGCTTTAGCCAAAGACGTCGATATTACCAACAGAGAGATGCTGTCATAATTCTACAGCGCCATTTCCGAGTTTTGCGGCTGGCCAGAATTAAAGAAAAAAATCGAAGAAGACAACACAATGCCACTGTCTATCTTCAGGCTTTGTGGCGTGGTTGGCTTGCGAGACAACAGGCAAGTTGTCTTTATATGTATGAGTAATGTTAACTGAGGCTGTGCTAATTAAAGGGGTCATATGATGCAATTAAAATTTTTCCTTTCTCTTTTGAGTGTTACAAGCTCTTGGTGCATAAAGAAGATCTGTAAAGTTGCAAAGACTAAAGTCTCAAATTCAAAGAGATATTCTTTATAAAAGTTAAAGGGGTCATGATGTTGCTAAAAATAACATTATTTGGTGTAATGAAATGTGTTTATGCGGTTTAAGGTCACACGGTGGCCTAGAGTGAGCAGAGGCTGGGGGCTAGAGTGAGGAACGGCCGGAGGGCTAGAGTGAGCAGAGGCGGCGGGCTTGAGAATGGCGCGGCCCGCCGCCGCTCACTCTAGCCCGCCGTGTGTGATGCTTTTTCGTTTGTGAAAGCAAAACTACTTTGTTTGGCCTTCCAAAAGAGGACACGACTAGAAATCAGTTGTTAAGTTGTATTTACAACACTGTTCCGGAACAGTTCAACCCAAATATTCAGATGTGTGCAGCACATTTTATGGAGGACTGTTTCCTGATCCTGGGAGAGTAGACTATAATGCCGGCTGTTCTGACTCACAGACTGTAATTACGTTTTCTTTTATCATTTGCCACTGATGATTCAAATGCGAGTTTTGAGCAGTGTAGAGTAGCGCTTGTTGTTTGTCATTTCTCCGATCACAAATGCAAACATGGTTTTATGTTTACGTGGCGCGATGCAACACAACGCGTAAAAAGACAGTATAAGTCATTATAATCCGTAATTATGTCCCCACTGGATGCAACAAATGCCTCGTTTATAATGGTTTTTAATGTTTTTGTCTCGGCGCTCCGGCCGGGACATGGCATCACAGTATGGTAAGGGGCGTAACATTTCCGTCACACGCTTGAGGTATTCGGCCAATCACAACCGAATGGGGTTTTTTTTTTTGTATGTTTGATCGGCTCTCCCGGTTGCCTAAGACAAATTTCTCCTAAGGGAGACAATAAAAGAGAAACTTAACTTAACGCACTGGATAGCTGGCAAATCACAGCACAACTCGCTTTTCAGACCGATGATGCTTTGTAAAAATCGACACATTTCAGAAAGGCGGGGCATAGAGGAGAAACGATAATGTACAGTATGTGGAAAATAATGTGTTTTTTTTAACCTTAAACCGCATAAACACATTTCATTACACCAAATAATGTTATTTTTAGCAACGTCATATGACCCCTTTAAAGTAATTGTTCAGCAACCAGCTAGTTGGAGTAGGTTACTTAATGTTCATCCCTGATTCTTTAGTAACGGAGCGGTCTCAATATGCTAAAAGTTAATCAGTGTTTCAATGTCTTAACCTGTTCCCTTTATAGGTAAAAGAAATGGCTTGTGCTGCAAGACGCCTCCGTTTCACAGCTGCTGTTTACCATCATCTCTGTGCAATAAAGATTCAGAGAGCTCTGCGAGCACACTGGGCTCTTAAATCCGCCAAGAGGAAGATCTCTTCGGTCCTTTACATCCAGGTACATTTAACCATCAAAAGAAAAAAAAATCTTTATTACATAGTGACTTTACCCCACAACCCATGACAGACACGTAATAATATGTGATGCTCTGGGAACCATTTCTCACAAAAATGTATGCATTGTCCATGTGCACTTAATTTAAAACCATTACTAGGATTTAGTGTGACCAAGAAAAAGCATTTTGTAAGTTTAGTCATCTTGTCTTTATCAATTTTACTGCCGTTTAATATGCATTATAAACTTGCAAAGTAAATTTGTTTTGTTAGCCAGAGATAACCTCATGGAATAGACGATTAACCGCTAGCTTGTTATGCATTTAGCTTAAAGGGTGAGTTCACAGATTTTCAATCAGCTTTGAATTGTTACAATGTTGGTAGTATATGTAAATGAAAAATGTGTACTCCTCCTCTGTTACCTGCATTGAGATACTTTTGGTGACAAATAAATGGGGATATCTTGGTGCAGATAACAGAGAAAGAGTACACTGTTGACAGATCAGGGCTTTTGTGAAAATGACAGATTTCTGCATTTTTGTATCCCCGCTCACAGACAGTTGGATCGGACCCACTGCATTATGGGTGTTGAAGTTTTCCTCTCTCTATTTTTTTTTTCACAGTGATTTTTCTTTTTTTCTGGTCGTGTAGCACCAATTTAAATAAAATATTTTTTACTGCATATAGAGCCAACTTTTAATAAAACCGTATCTTGCCAACGTTGAATTACTCCTTTACTAATAATAATTTCAGTGTACATTTCTCTTTTTCTCTGCCCCAAATTTTCTAGCAATGTTTCCGGGCAAAGCTGCAGAGAAAGAGATATCTTAAAGACCGAGAAGACATCATCAAGACCCAGAAGGCAGTGAGAACTTGGTTACATCGTCGCAACAAAGCTGCCGCTACTATCCAGCATGAAGTTAGGAAGCTCCTTCTGAGACGCCGCAAGGAGAGGCTACAACGTGGAATAATAATGGCACAGGTATGGTGTCTTATTTAATACATACAGTGGGTACGGAAAGTATTCAGACCCCTTTAAATTTTTCACTCTTTGTTATATTGCAGCCATTTGCTAAAATCATTTAAGTTCATTTTTTTTCCTCATTAATGTACACACAGCACCCCATATTGACAGAAAAACACAGCATTGTTGACATTTTTGCAGATTTATTAAAAAAGAAAAACTGAAATATCACATGGTCCTAAGTATTCAGACCCTTTGCTCAGTATTTAGTAGAAGCACCCTTTTGATCTAATACAGCCATGAGTCTTTTTGGGAAAGATGCAACAAGTTTTTCACACCTGGATTTGGGGATCCTCTGCCATTCCTCCTTGCAGATCCTCTCCAGTTCTGTCAGGTTAGATGGTAAACGTTGGTGGACAGCCATTTTTAGGTCTCTCCAGAGATGCTCAATTGGGTTTAAGTCAGGGCTCTGGCTGGGCCATTCAAGAAAAGTCACAGAGTTGTTGTGAAGCCACTCCTTCGTTATTTTAGCTGTGTGCTTAGGGTCATTGTCTTGTTGGAAGATAAACCTTCGGCCCAGTCTGAGGTCCTGAGCACTCTGGAGAAAGTTTTCGTCCAGGATATCCCTGTACTTGGCCGCATTCATCTTTCCCTCAATTCCAACCAGTCGTCCTGTCCCTGCAGCTGAAAAACACCCCCACAGCATGATGCTGCCACCACCATGCTTCACTGTTGGGACTGTATTGGACAGGTGATGAGCAGTGCCTGGTTTTCTCCACACATACCGCTTAGAATTAAGGCCAAAAAGTTCTATCTGGGTCTCATCAGACCAGAGAATCTTATTTCTCACCATCTTGGAGTCCTCCATGCAGGCTTTCATGTGTCTTGCACTGAGGAGAGGCTTCCGTCGGGCCACTCTGCCATAAAGCCCCGACTGGTGGAGGGCTGCAGTGATGGTTGACTTTCTACAACTTTCTCCCATCTCCCAACTGCATCTCTGGAGCTCAGCCACACTGATCTTTGGGTTCTTCTTTACCTCTCTCACCAAGGCTCTTCGCCCCCGATAGCTCAGTTTGGCCGGACGGCCAGCTCTAGGAAGGGTTCTGGTCATCCCAAACGTCTTCCATTTAAGGAATGGAGGCCACTGTGCTCTTGGGAACCTTAAGTGCAGCAGAAATTTTTTTGTAACCTTGGCCAGATCTGTGCCTTGCCACAATTCTGTCTCTGAGCTCTTCAGGCAGTTCCTTTGACCTCATGATTCTCATTTGCTCTGACATGCACTGTGAGCTGTAAGGTCTTATATAGACAGGTGTGTGGCTTTCCTAATCAAGTCCAATCAGTATAATCAAAAACAGCTGGATTCAAATGAAGGTGTAGAACCATCTCAAGGATGATCAGAAGAAATGGACAGCACCTGAGTTAAATATATGAGTGTCACAGCAAAGGGTCTGAATACTTAGGACCATGTGATATTTCAGTTTTTCTTTTTTAATAAATCTGCAAAAATGTCAACAATTCTGGGTTTTTCTGTCAATATGGGGTGCTGTGTGTACATTAATGAGGAAAAAAACTTAACTTGAATGATTTTAGCAAATGGCTGCAATATTGTTAAGAGTGAAAATTTTAAGGGGGTCTGAATACTTTCCGTACCCACTGTATATATTGTATGTAATTTACTCCGTATTTACTGTTTTTTCAAAACTTGGCTTCATTAGTCCACAAAAGTGTTAATGTAGGTGTTGGAAGTGTTTACAATTTTAGGGGTGAACAACTCTATTAATTTGAATATTTATAATGGGATTAATTGTTTTAAGGCACTCTGGAGGGGTCATTGTTCAAGAAAACATCATGACACAAGCAAAGTCATTTCCATGAGGCATCGTCTCAGGAAAGTCAATCAAGGGGTGAAGGAAGAGGACAAGCTGTGTAACAAGACCACAACAGCGCTAAGCTACCTGCTTGGACTTCAGAATTATGCTTACATTCTTGCAGCCTTGAAACATTTGGGTAAGAGCTTGTTTTTAAAGATAGGAGGTTGGCTGTTTCATAAAATGATAGCTAATGTTATCTTTTTGTCATGGTTCAAGATACTGCCACCAGACTTTCACCAGAGTGCTGTGAACGTCTTGTGGAAAGTGGAGCAACACACACCATCTTCACTCTGATAAGGAGCTGCAACAGAAGTGTGCCTTCAATGGAGATCATCACATTATCCATCCAAGTCCTTCTCAACTTATCAAAAGTATGTTGCCTCATAATTAAGGAGTTAGGGTTGTTAATCTGTATAAAATCATCTCATATGCTGATTAATTAATTCCATATAACAATGTTGATTTTTGCTTCTTTTTTTTTTCCAATATATTTTTCAGTACAACAGAACCATTGATGCAGTTTATGAAGTGGACAGCTCTGTAGAAACCCTACTGGAGCTTCTGCAGATCTACCGGGAAAAGGCTGGAGATAAGGTTGCAGAAAAAGGAGGCAGCATCTTTACCAAGGCTTGTTTTCTCTTGGTCCTCTTAGTCCAGGATGAAAGAAGAGCAATGGTGGGTGTTTCTTTCAAGCAATTGATTTCAATAAAAGTTTCTCTTCCTCTTCTCTAAAGCAGCGCAGCATGGCCTTGCCCCCTTTGTTGCCTTTTCCCGAGGGCATCTGGTTTTGTTACTTGTTGTAGTCCCTACCAGCCGTTTTTGTAAGCATTAAACTATGGCGTTATTTTAATGACAAATGTCGAGAGCACAGATACCCAGAGAGAGTGCGCGCACTTAAAACGTGTCTCTCCTCGCTCTCAAACTGTGTCCTGTGCACTCTCAAATCTCTCTGTGCTCATGCACTATAGATATTCTTTTCGCACCTGAATCTTTAATCTTAAATCTTCTGATTTAAGACAGAACTATTTAGATATGGGTCAGATGCACTATGCCCTAAACCGATACTTACGCGGAGACCAAATATAACACTATAATGAATTTTTCATATTTGCCATAACATTGCTACATTCTATTCTATGGGTTTAATGCATTTGCAGACAATGTAATTACATGTAACTGTCATATAACTGTATATTCACTGTTTTAGAGGAGAGTGCCATTGAATGTGTAGCTAATATTAAGTGGATTTTCATGAAAAAAAATCACAATAAATGTCCAAACAGCGATGCTATTAGAGCATCTATTTTTGCATTTGGTGTTGATTTGAGGAGTTGTTACTTATTATTGTCATCATACCAACTGAGAATTTATTGCAATGGTTTTAAATTAGATTTCACGTAGTATTTTCATCGGTCAGTTGTGGAGGTCTGATTGGTTTAAGCTTTATTTATAGAGCACCTTTTAAAACAGTGTATACAAAGTAGCATACTTTACAAAGACATGCATATGTGCATTAGCAGAAAAGATCAAAATACAAACATAAAAGAGATACAGTAAAACAAAGTAGCTACAATAACCAAGTTTGTTAAAACAAAAATACAACAATAAAAAAAATCAAGAAAAGGCCCTGCACAAATCTGTTTTGAGACTACTTTTTAAAAGTGCATAATTATAACTTTTGACAACGTTGAATTCAGGTGCGAAAAGAATTAATATCTATAGTGCACGAGCACAGAGAGATTTGAGAGTGCACAGGACACAGTTTGAGAGCGAGGAGAGACACGTTTTAAGTGCGCGCACTCTCTCTGGGTGAGAGCAGCGTGTATCTGAGCGCGCGAGCGGAGTGATTCGCGCTCGCGCATTATATTAATGTGCTTTCGCGCTACAATAATGTTGATATCATGCACACCGAGGCAGAAACCTCACTGCATTTGTACAAGTTTGTCTTAAAGGGGTCATATGACGTTGCTAAAAAATAACATTATTTTGTGTATTTGGTGTAATGAAATGTGTTTATGCGGTTTAAGGTTAAAAACACATTATTTTCCACATACTGTACATTGTTTCTCTTCTATGCCCCGCCTTTCTGAAACGCGTCGATTTTTACAAAGCTCATCGGTCTGAAAAGCAAGGTGTGCTCTGATTGGTCAGCTATCCAATGCGTTGTGATTGGCCGAATACCTCAAGCGTGTGACGGAAATGTTACGCCCCTTAACAAACTGTGAAGCGGTCTCCCGGCACCGCGAGACAAAACCAATAAAACCCATTACAAACGAGGCATTTGTTGCATCCAGTGGGGACATAATTATGGATTATAATGACTTATACTGTGTTTTTACGCGTTGCGTTGCATATCGCGCCGTGTAAACATAAAACCATGTCTGCATTTGTGATCGGAGGAACAACAAACAACAAGCGCTACTCTACACTGCTTAAAACTCGCGTTTGAATCATCAGTGGCAAATTCTTTAAATATAAAAAATTTACTTACAGGCTGTGAGTCAGAAGCGCCAGACTGTCCTTGCAAAGTTGGAACTGCCCCACTTTATAGAAACAGCCTTTGAGCACAGACCCATTGTAGTCTACTCTGCAGGTTCAGGAAACAGTCCTCCATAAAATGCGTCACACAGTGTCACACACTGCGGGCTAAAGTGAGTGGTGGCTGGCGGCCTTGAAAACGGTGTGCCTGGCGCATTCGACGAAGGAGCGGCCGGCGGGCTTGCGGCAACCACATGTGATGACCCCGGCCTGGACTCCGCTTTGTCCACGGTGAAAGCCAGTCCGGCGATCCACAGCGCGAAGTTGATGTATTCCTTTAGCGACCAGCACGGATCAGCTCTAGGCATGATGAAGTGGATATCGTCCTCTTTTGGAAGGCCAAACAAAGTAGTTTCGCTTTCACAACGAAACACACAGCGCCTTCACAACATGGCCGCGACAACAACAATACTACAGCTGGAATAAAAGTTACGCCTTCTTTCTTCGTGTGAACATTTGGGCGGCGTTATGCAAATCTTCCCACACAGTGACGTAGACATGTGGGGGCTTGTTTAAACGAGGCGTTTTAGGAGGGTGTGGACAAGTCTTAACTTTTATAAAGAATATCTTTGGATTTGAGACTTTAGTCTTTGCAACTTTACAGATCTTATTTATGCACCAAGAGCTTGTAACACTCAAAAGAGAAAAAGGAAAAAATGAAATCGCATCATATGACCCCTTTAAGGTAGTTTCATCTTTTAAATATTTGCCTGTCTGACATGCAAATGAGATTATATCCTTGTGTGGTGAGAATATTTTTTGTCGTCCACCCCACTGCAACTCTATACCCCTTTTATCCATTTCCTCCACCGTCACTATACAGGGCTCTGAAACAATCCAAACATGTAAATGTTACAATATATACATTAATTAATTAATCCGCACAATCTACAACTTAAACTTCAAGAATAAGACATACAAAAACAGGTAAGAGTTCATACTTTAACACGTAAAGTATCCTCTCCATTTGCCTTGCACACAGGTCAAGTAGGGGGAGCCTTCCATTGTAAATTTATTATAGCACATGTGTTTGACTTTCTCCCCATAACTATATAAATTTTTTGGCATTTCTACTGTGTGCATTTTCCTGGTGTGGTGGTGGCCCACATTCAGTTCTCACTGAAGGAAAATAAATTTTTCTTGATTTTTATTCATTTTAAACAGCATTAACTGTAAACTGTAAGCCAGTGTTTCATTAATGAGTCTCGATATTAGCAAGATGTATTTTCTATGGTGTTAAACTATAAAATACATTATCAATGCAATGCGCTGTGAGAGGCCTTTAATAAAATGCTTAAGAAGATCAGTTGAACCACTGATTCCTTTGTATAATTTCTAGTTAAAGGCATTTTCCCTCTGTGGCCTTACCTTCACATTTTGGAAATGGGCTGCTCCATTCTCCATTTGACTGGCAGGTGATTTTGCTCTGTCCTTTAAAAATCAAACCTTGTCCATTACATAAAATTTTAATGTGTGTCCAGGTATGATTGAAACCTCAGACTCTATGATCATATTCCCTGGGAGGTATACAACACACGCTGCATCTAAAGAGCAGAAAATCTGGTTCCTTCACATTAAAACTTAACTTAACCAATCAAAAGGTTTTACTTTGTATGTCCTTACTTTCGCATTTAGGAAAAGGGCTGCTCCATTCTCTGTTTGACTGGCAGGTTATTTCTCTCTGTCCTTTTAAAATCAGTCCTTGTCCATTGCATGAAAATGTTAAATTATATCCAGGTTTGGCTGGACCCTCAAGATCAGGAAATCGTTTAATTTTGATGTTCTCTGTTGTGTTTAGAGGACATGTTACATCTAGAGAAAGAAGAAATACTAGTCATTGCAGGGTCATCCATCTCTGCAGGGGCGGATCTACCGGGGTGGCAATTGCCACCCTAAGAAAAAGCTGTGCCACCCCAGAATTATCACAGAATAAAATATAAATGTAAACTCAAAAAACAAAAATATAAAAGGTAACTCAGAAGTCCTCTGAGAAATCTAATCCTGTCCGGATATGTCTGAGATTCATTGCGTAATTGTTTGGTGATCCAATTCTCTGACCGCTCGCTCCACTTTCATCATGAATATAAGCCGTAACAATAACATGAAATCAATTAGAAGATGCCGATCACGGAAACTAATAGCAGAGTTAGGTAAGAATCTAGTCGTATTTCAGTTTTCTCGATTGTTAATATAACTGATTTTAGTTGCCACATTTTTTCCCCACGCCAATAATTCAGTTTTCAAAACAAAGACACATTTCTCAAAAAGTTAACCTAAGTTAAGTTAAGTTAAACATTAGGTAGCAAAACTGATGCCACACCAATCAGAATCTCTGCATGCTAACAACGGAGAGAGCTCGAGCTGAGCAAATCATCAACAGGGGTTTTACACTTACACATAGAGTATAATTACAGTTCAGTACCAGTATATTAATGGAAATTTCACTATTCTATATGTACAGTAAACTGTAGCACGTTGTACACCTTCAAGCGTGTGACTGTCAAATTTTATTTGTAACCATTTTTTATGTGTAGGCCTACTGCATTTTTGCAGAACTGAGAAATGACTGCCTAGAGATATAGCTAGTCTTGTGTCAGGAGACCAAGAAACTGCTATATGTATATATGTATGTATATGTATACTGTAATGAAATTTGGCCAAATGTGCAGAGGATGCTAAATTTACTTTTTTTAATTAAATTTTTTACTGTACTGTATTGTGGTGCATACCAAGTTCGTACAATTCTTTGGTATGTGAACTTTTCTAGTGCTTTTCATCTACTGCAAGATTACTTTACAGTAGTAAAATGAAAATGATTTTTTCCCCAAAAGTTCATTGCTGAATTATACATCTGGATCTGTAATTTAATTTATGTATACTGTAATAGACATTGAGCTGCAAAAATAATTCCTGAATCCTAGTTTTTTGTTACAGAGTTATTGATCTCAGTGTTCACTGGGCAGGAAATTCATCTGTGTATTTGAATTGTGTGTAAGCATTTACAGTTTTTTTTGTGTGACATTTACTTGTCACACAGTTTCTGAAACCTGACACTCAAACACCAGAACCACACACCAAATCTGCAAAACCATACTCTAACTCTTGGCCTTTGACTCCGTTTTCAATTTCATAAAACACTTTTTGCAAAACACAACACACAATTCTCTATGTAACACACAACAAATCTAACAGAAATTAATATTATGGCAAAGGTATTTACAAATGTTTGCTTTTGAGATGTGTTTGAGATATTTTGAATGCAGTGCTTCATTTTGCAAGAGATGCGAGGCATTTTGCATTTTATGTGTGCAATTCTTGCATTTGGGTGTAAAGTTTTGAAAAAAAAGGCAAAGTTTTGAAAATGAGTGCAAGCAGTTGGGGGGAAAAATCCTGTAAGAAAAACTGTAATAACTAGATTGAAAAGTTTGAAAGACAAATGTATGCTGGCTTGTCTTCATTTTGTGTGTGCAATTCTTGCATTTGGGTGTAAAGTTTTGAAAAAAAAGGCAAAGTTTTGAAAATGAGTGCAAGCAGTTGGGGGGAAAAAATCCTGTAAGAAAAACTGTAATAACTAGATTGAAAAGTTTGAAAGACAAATGTATGCTGGCTTGTCTTAAAGTCTTGTTTAAAAAACGTAAATGGTTTGGTCAGTTAGATGTTCTAGATGTTTGCTAAAGTGTTGCTAGTTGGTTGCTAGGATATTCTGGGTGGTTGCTAGGCTCTTGCTATGCAGTTGCTGGGGTGTTGCTAGAGTATATGGTTGCTAGAGTTTGTTCTGTGTGATTACAGACATTCCCACCTCTGTTAATAACAGAAAATCAAACATTGTTTTCAAAACTGATCCAGTTTCAGTGCTTTGATATTATTGTCAACAAATATAATTTGATATTATTTCTTTCTAATGTTAGGAAATTCAAAAGTTTTTGTTGCTCTTAAACTTGCACTAAACGTGATTATCTAAGTAGCCTATGTAATTTTAATAGATCCACATGTCTTCTTTAGTGATACAAGCTCAGAAACATTTATAACCTGTTGAAGTTTTTTATATTGTGCATTGACTTGGTGCCATGATGGATATTGAAATGTTATTTATTTTTCATTTTAAACAGTATAGATGATATTTGTGAACAACTGTGTATGTCAGACCATAAATCCCCAAAAACTATGCATGGGGGCTTGCTTTGGTGTTGCCACCCCTCATAGACCCCATGCCACGCATTTGCCACCCTAACAATTATTTTCTAGATCTGCCCCTGCATCTCTGTCCATTCACATGATTTAGAATTAACTGATAGAGTAAGAATATAATTAAATTGCTCGTTGGCCGTGCATCTTCAGGTTCACATCTGTGCATCGAAAAACTAAAATATGTCCCGGTTTATAAAGTGGAGCAATACCTGGATTTCCAACTACAATGTCAACATTGATGAGCTGTTCACTCTCACAGGTAACTTCTGTAGAAAAGAAACAAAGTTGTATTTTTATTTTTTTATACTACTAATAAAATGAGATACTCTTACATTTTACTTCAGGTTTAGACCCACATTTGGATTTTAATGGTACATGCTAGGGCTGTGCGATTAATCGAAATCGAATCGCAATCAGCCTTGCTAACCAACAGAGTGAGTGCACCTCCGTTCTCCCCAAATCAGCACTGCTCTAGCCAACTGCGTAAACGCCCACCATTATAAAAAAAAGTGAAAGTGATGTGACATGTGGTCAAGAATGGTGACCCATACTCGGAATTAGTGCTCTGCATTTATCCCATCCAAAGTGCACACACACAGCAGTGAACACACACACACCGTGAACACACACACACCGTGAACACACACCCGGAGCAGTGGGCAGCCAAAACAAAAAGGAATTTTGTAATGGTTTAATTGAAACTATAAGAATTTCTGTGATGGTTTCTATTGTTTTTTTTCAGCAGGGTAATGATACCATACTGTGCTGCACATTATTGACAATATTGAGCTGAAGCTTGACTTTGCAAATTTAAAATCGCAATCGCAATATCTGTCAAAAAAAAAATCGCAATTAGATATTTTCCCCCAAATCGCACAGCCATCCATGCTTTAATGGAAAACAAGCAACAACCACTGTATTCAGACAAGCATTATAAATGATCAGTTGTTTTACACAAAAATTTATTTGTATAAGATTTCTTGATGTTTAAATCTGCTTTAGCTAATTTGTTTAATTGTGTTACCTTTTGTTGAGACATCCATGATCATTAATTGAAGAAAGATAAATATTTGACAATATTTCATTTTAAGCTGTAAAACATTGCAGATGGCTTAGTGCAGTTTGCAGAGTATCGACTGAATCACCTACCAAATATTTTGTATTTAAAGACTGATTCACTTTCCTTATTTAACACGAATCAATGCAAAGATTTCTTTACCGTTAAACATAAATTAGTGCTGATGAAAAACTCCGATGACCTGTTTTCCAAAAGATGTAGTTATAAACACAATTTAGCATTTGTGATATGAATTTGTGAAGTCTCCTTCCTTCCGCCCCACGCACCCACGATAATAAAAAAACAGGGCTTTTGTGCCTGGGTGACTCTGTTGCTTTGTCCTTGTTTGTGTGCTAATATTAGCTAAAGTTGTGCAATTTAATCTGATTCCATGGGTAACATCTGTGAACAACATATACTACAGGGGTTGAAGAGTCTAAAAAGAGTTGATTTAGTTTACTCAGACATGTCAACTAGAAATTACGTGCAAATTGTCTTGAATAAATGTGAACATTTTACATGGCTGGTGTAAATACTCATCTGACCAGAGCTGTTTCATTCCAGTTTCACTCTCTAAACTATAAATTAGTAACTGATTCACATTATAAATGTTTCATTGGGCTGTTCACTGAC